CCTTTTGCCAAATGATCAGAACCTATGATGTGCAGTGTCATTTCCTAATTATTATACTTACAGGCCTTATTTACACTCTTTCCCAACACTTGGCAAGGGGGACTCCCATCTCTCAAGAGAAACAGCTTCCTAAGAACACCAATTTTGAATTCCATTATAAGAATCCTGTTCCCATCCATGCAATGTATCTATTGTGAGACAAAAATATCCCTTTGTGAACTTAAACTGAATGTGCCAGAAGGATGCCGGAATATAAACAAAATTACTAATAATCTGTTTGGGGCCCAACTATGAATTTACTTTTTATAAAAATATCACCGTGGGCTGGGGATGTGGTTCAGTGGCACAGAACTGGCCTAGCATGTGTGAGGCACTAGGTTCCATCCCCAGTCCTGCAGAAAGGAAAAAAAAAAATCACCAACTCCATGAATGAAACCTCAAATTCATTACGTTAATAAATACTGACCATCAAATATGATATAAATTTAACTGACAACCTGTTATGATCTGATGATCCAAAGGAAGTGTCTCCTTTAAAAGTGAAAAAATTCAGCAATCCAGTTATACCCAGTGACTGGTCATATCGTGTATCACACACAAACTCCAGACAGTCGACCAGGAATGTCACAACCTGAGATATCATGGAAGAAAGAAAATCTTTTTTTTTTTTTTTTTTTTTAGAAAATCTTTTCCATATTAAGCTTTACATTCTGTTTTGCTCCTAATGATTCTGCTACTTTAAAATTTAACAAAAATGAACAGAGACAATTGTTCCGGGTATAGGAATCAGAGTCAGGATTTCTAAGTTTCTGCATCATAAATCTAAACCAAGCTGTGAACAATCTGGCCCCAGTAACTGAACAAAAATTAAGTTCACACATTAAAGGTCATTTAAAAAAAAATCTTACCATATTTACAGAAGGGTGTTACGGCTTGGATCTGAAATGTCCCCCAAACGCTGGTGTGTTGAAGGCTTGGTCCCCAAGGCAAAGTGTTCAGAAGTGGGACCTTTGGAAGGTGATTGGATCCAACTACCTTAATTAGTTAATCCACTTGATGGAGTCTGGGCTGTTGGGAAGTGGTTAAAAAAAAAAACCAAAACCCTAGGAGGTGGGGCCTAATTGGAGGAAGTAGGTCCTGGGGCGGGGGCATGCCCTTAAAGGCTATGTTTTTGTCCCCTGTACCTTCCTCTTCTCTTTGCTTCCTGGCAGCCCTGAGGTGAACAGTTTTGCTTCATTACACCCTCCCCACCACAACATTCTACCTCAACCCAGGCCCAGAAACAACAGAGCCAAGTGACCATGAACTAAAATCTCCAAATGTGAGCCAAGATAAATCTTTCCTCCTTTTAAGTTTTTTTCTCAGGCATCGTATCACAGCAACAGCAAGCTGTCAAATACCCAGTTTTTCAACCTTGGTACTACTGATGTCTTGAACTATATGATTCTTTGCTGTGAGGCCACTGTCCTACATATTGTAGAATGTTTATTAGCATTCCTAGTCTTTTATCTATTAGATGCCAGCAGCACCCTGCCCCATGTCATAACAACTGAAAACAACTCCAGACATTGCCAAATGTCCTCTGTGGGGCAAAATCACTCCAAATTGAAAATCAATGTCTTACAATGAAACTTTACCCAATGATATGAATAGGTTACAGGATCACTGAAGAGAATCAAGGCTCTCCCAGAAAAGGCAGACAGAAGTTGAACTGTGAGGTAGAAAAGTAGTATTTCTTCAATACATTTATTTTATTTATTTATATGTGGTGCTGGGGATCGAACCCAGGGCGTCACATATGCTAAGCAAGTGCTCTACCACTGAGCCATAACCCCAGCCCAGAAAAGTAGTATTAAAACATTAGAAATTGCCGGGCATGTTGGCACATGCCTGTAATCCCAGCAGCTCGGGAGGCTGAGACAGGAGTATCCCGAGTTCAAAGCCAGCCTTAGCAAAAGTGAGGTGCTAAGTAACTCAGTGAGACCCTGTCTCTAAATACAATACAAAATAGGGCTGGGGATGCGGCTCAGTGGCCAGGTGCCCTTGAGTTCAATCCCCAGTACCCTCCAACAACAACAACAAAACATTAGAAATAAACTGGGTGTGATAGTTTTTTGGGAGGCTAAGGCTGGAGGGTTCTGAGTTCAATGCCAGCCTGGACAAGATAGTGAGACCACCCCCATCTAAAAAAAAAAAAATTAGAAATAAATTAAAAAGAAAATAAAAATATTAAATAAAAGTCCTTATAAAAGAAGTCTAAACCCCCATCTAAGTTTTCTTTTGCGGTTCTGGGACTGTGGCTCAGTGGTAGAGCGCTCCCCTAGCACAGGCATGACCCAGGTTCAATCCTCAGCACCACATAAAAATAAAGGCATTGTGTTGTGTCCATCTACACCTAAAAAAAAAAAGTTTTCTTTTGCTAAAATCCCTTTTTTGAGGAGCTGGGGTTGTGGCTCAGTGGTAGACTGCTTACCTAGCATGTATGAGGCACTGGGTTCGATTCTCAGCACTGCATATAAATAAATGAATAAAATAAAGGCCCATCAACGTCTAAAAAATAAAAATAATCAATTTTTTGAAATTATAGCTAATATTTCCATTTCACGTAATAAGTATTTCTGGTCTCTGATAATTTTCAATGTATAACTTTTGATTTAGAATAACTATTTTTCTGACAGTTTGTGGTGAGAGACCAATTTTTAAATTTCCAATCTTCTGCATGGCCTAGTATCCAGTCTTTGTACAGTATGGCTCACAGCTGGCCATGCCTGAGCTGGCCCATACCCGGTTGAAGAATAGGCCACTGATCACATGTGTGGCTGTCACAAGACCAAAGTGTTATAAAAGTTTCTAACCGGGCATGGAGGTGCACATTTATAATCCCAGCAACTTGGAAGGCTGAGGCAGAAGGTTTTTTTGTGTGTGTGAGTTCAAAGCCAACAATTTAGCGAGGCCCTAAGAAAATTAACAAGACCCTGTCTCAAAATAAAATATAAAAAGGGCTGGGGATGTGGCTCAGTGGTAAAGCACCCTGGGTTCAATCCCGGAACCAAAACAAATAAATAAATAAATAAATATTTTTTTTCTTTATACTCTTAATTCCTGACTGTCCTGTCTGGTAGAGTGCTTGTTTAGCATGCAAGAGGCCCTGGATTCAATGCTCAGCACCACAAACAAATAAACAAGGACAATAAAAAAGCCCTCTTTAACCCTTCAAGAACCAGACCAACACCTACAAGCCAATTTACAATTTACACTTGCTCTTGATTTTTTTTTTTTTGTTCAAGAGGCAGAAAGAAAAGTTGATTTTACATCCTTTTGAAACACACTGTATGAAAATTAAAGGCAAAGGGATTTTTTAAAAAATCCATTTTGGATACATTAAGACAAAGGGATTTTTAAAAAATCCATTTTGGATACTTTAAGACAAAGGGATTTTTTAAAAAATTCATTTTGGATACTTTAAGACAAAATTTGAAAGTGAATTCAAGTACATCCTTTGTCCCTAATTTCTCCTAAAGAGTATGCTCTTTAACCCTTTAAAGACGTTCAGCCTCTTTTGTTAGAATGATCATACAGCTGCAGTGTAGATAAAAAGCAGATTGGCTTCAAAACCTGTTCAATTAATTTTCTGTTTCCTTTGAGAGGGTCTTTTAAAAGGTAAATGAGGGGCTGGGATGTGGCTCAAGCAGTAGCATGCTCGCCTGGCATATGTGCAGCCTGGGTTCTATCCTCAGCACCACATACAAACAAAGATGTTGTGTCCGCCGAAAAATTTTAAAAAATAAATAAATATTACAATTCTCTCTCTCTCTCTCTAAAAAAAAAGGTAAATGAGGGCTGGGGCTGAGGCTCAGTGTAGCACACTTGCCTGGCATGTGTAAGGCCCTGGGTTCGTTTCTCAGCACCGCATATAAATAAATTAAAAAAAAGATAAATGATTCAGAAATAGAACTTGTTTAGATGGGCTTATAATTTCCTTCCAATTAAAGTTCTGGGCATAGACAAAGTTAAAGAATGAAAGAAATGTCATGGGTGGCTTCATTTCTGTGTTACATAGAGATGTCCTTTGGAAATGGCTAGAACAAGTAGGGCAACAATTTGAGTTTTACCCAAGTAACTTGCTTTATGATCTCAGAACAGGTTATTTGTGTGTTTAGAATTGCTGAATACCAAACCAGACAGGGAAACCACCCAGCCCTGGCTCACGGCTCCCTTCTTGGGAATTATAAAATATTATAAAACATAATTCAACTGGGCAAGTGGGATGCCCTAATGAACCTTTCAGTTCATTTCCAGGCTTTTCTGCACATAAATACTCCCAGTCTTTAAGACTATAGTTTTGGAGTACCTTTTATGATCATTCAGTCAGTCTTTTTTATATCAAAGAAACATTCCCTTTAATACATTGCCAGAAAATTAAAATGTGGAAATCTTTAGGACAGGCTTGACAAAGGGAAGACTGATTCCAAGACTTAATGTAGTCTTGCCTACTGGAGAAAAAGGATGTTAAAAAAGGGATGCAGAGGATTGGGACAATGTGAAAACAAGCATCTGGATTTTCTTATCTTCCTCTTAACCAGAGGTTGGATGCACAGCAGGAAAAACAGGAAAACTTTGGGCTACCCTCAATTCACTTAGAATTAAGGAGTGGTCAGCAAAGCCTTCAGAAATGGAGGGTACCACACTAAAAAGTTATCAGTCTTGGGCTGGGGTTGTGGCTTAGTGGTAGAGCACTTGCCTCAAATATGTGAGGCACTGGGTTCGATTCTCAGCACCACATATAAATAAATGAATAAAATAAAAATAAAATTTTTAAAGTTATCAGTCTTAAATAAAAAAATTTGGCCTCTACCGGGTAGCCTAACAAAAATGCAATTATAATCACAATGAAAAAAAAAAAAGTTCCTCCCAGGGTTGCACAATATTGAACCAATGGGGACTTTTGCCGCAGAATGAGCAAGAATGCATTCTAAGATGTCTTCCCCACCCATTTATTGCTATGTCAGTGTCTCCCGCTCTGATGCATTGGATCGAATTTGTGGTTTGTCATCAGAATCTTCTCCGGTGGGGTCGTTCTCCTCGCCAGACTCCACATAGATTGGCCAGTCATTGTCTGTGTCACTCTTCTCTTGGCTTTCAGATGACGCCTCCACAAGGCTAAGGTTGATGGGCATCAAATCGTCATCGTCATCATGAGTGTCCGTAACACAGGTGCAGCTGTCACACAACCCGAAGCGCCGCAGCCCCTGAGAAAGGTGGCTAGTGAAGGTTCTTCTGCAGCCCTTGCAGATGATTGGGCGGTTAGATCTGTGCACCTATGATCACAAAAAGACACAGTAAATATCACAGAAAAGGGGTTGAGCCACGGTCCACAGGCCCCATGTGATCTGGCCCCTGCCTGACCTCCACCCTCACTTCATGTCCTCTCCCCCTTGCTTTCTCTGCAGAGTCTCAGTCTCACCGAGGTCCTTTCCACCCCAGGACCACTGGATGTGTGTGGAGTGTTCCCCCTTCCCATCTCCAGCTCCTCGCTCTTCCCTAATGCCTTTCAAGAAAGTTGTCCCTGATGCTCTGAGCCAGCTTAGGGTCCCCAACTATATATTCTCACCTCTGCTTCTTCCTTTGTTGTATGCCTCATAAATCATTGACAAAATTCAGTAGACTGTAGGCTCTAAGGGGCAAGGACAGAAGCTATCTCATTCATTACTGAATTCCTAGTTCTTGGCACATAAAGGGCATTCAATGAACTGATTAGGATTGATGCTAGGGATTGAACTCAGGGACTTGCATGTGCTGGGCAAACACTCCATCACTGAGCTGAACCCTTGGCTCTTTTTATTTATCTTTTAAAAATTTGAGACACGGTCTTGCTAAGTTGCTCAGGGTGGCATTAAATTTTCCATCCTCCTGCCTCAGCTTCCCGAGGAGCTGGGATTACAGGTATGTGTCACTCCCTCTGTATAAGGAAATATCTTTTTTTTTTTTTTTTTTTGGTGGTGCTGGGGATTGAACCYAGGGCTTGTACATTTGAGGCAAGCACTCTGCCAACTGAAGTATATCCCGAGCCCCAGGTAATGTCTTTATAATGTGTGCACTCTATAGGGACTCCAGGGTACAGCAGCTCTGAGAACCAGGATACATACAACAGAGAGGGACAAGAAAGACTGATAAAGACAACCAACAATGATAGCATCTAGTGGGTGTAAAGTAGCATCTCACGTTGGCTTTGATTTGCATTTACCCTATAAGTAATAATGGTGAGCATCTTTACAGGTGCTCATCAGCCATTTGCATGTCTTTTTATTAGAGAAATACCTACTCAAATTCTTTGACCATGTTTAACTAAATTATGCCTTTTTTGTTTCATTGTAAGAGTTCTTTAAATTTTTCAGACCCTTACCAAACATGTGCCTTGCAGAGATTTTATCTCATTCTATGGGTTTTTACATTCTTTTTTTTTTGGGGGGGGGCGGGGGTACCAGGGATTGAACTCAGGAGCACACGACCACTGAGCCACATCCCCAGTCCTATTTTGTATAATTTTTAGAGACAGGGTCTCACTGAGTTGCTTTAGCATCTCACCATTGCTGAAGCTGGCTTTGAACTCGCGATTCTCCCGTCTCAGCCTCCAAAGTCGCTAGGATTACAGGTGTGCACCACTGCACTCGGCTCACATTCTTTTTTTTTTTTTTTGGTGGGGGGGCAGTGCTGGGGATGGAATGCAGGGCCTTGTACATGCTAGGCAAGCGCTCTACCACTGAGCTACATTCCCTGGCCTTATTTTGGCTTTTCCAAAGATTAACTACCTTGCTCAGAGATGACCATAAATGCAGAGACTTTCTAAATGGCTGGAAGGTTCTGTGGCTGGTGGGAATCACCAGCTCACATGAAAATAGAATCCTAGGGGCAGCTAGATAGAAGAGAGGTACCTTTGGGTTGAAGCTCTCTTTGCTGCCTACAGGTAGCCTTATACATGGTAACACACCCCTCCCCCACCCCCAGGGGAAACTGAGGATGCAGGTTATCTCTGGGATCACACCAGAGGGAAGATCCCCACTTCCCTGTCCAAGCCCTGTTGTTCTCTGTCTTTTGACAACCATTCCTAAGCAGGATCGAAAAGTCCTTTACTCTCTCTGTAGAAAACTAGTCTGTGTAGCAAGGCCCTAATGGGGATGTGGCTCAATGACAAAGTGCCCTTAGGTTCAGTTCCCAGCAGAAAGGGGTCTGGGAGGCGCGGGAGAGTGAAAGAAAGAGGAGGAAGGAAGGAAGGAAAGAAAACCAGTCTGTTATCGTCTGTGTTCTAGTTTTCTCTAAGTGCTACCAGCCCAGCTTTAATTCAGTAGGAGAAATATGTTCAAAATTCTCTGACAATCCCTCAGAGGACAGAGAAGGGAAAGACAAGCTGCTTTACCCTTCCATTACGTAATATCAGGAGCTGCCCCTGCCAGAAGAGCCCTGGGGCGGGGCACTTACGCTCAGGGCGTGGCTCCGCAGGTGCTCCTGCCTGGTGAACCTCTTCCCGCAGGTCTCGCACGGGTAGGGCCGCTCGCCAGTGTGCGAGCGGATGTGCCGCTTGAGGATGCCCTTCTGTTTGGCAGTGTAAGGGCAGAAAGGACACTTGTGCAGCTTGATGGGGACGACCAACACGTCACCTGTAGAACCCAATGGATTGATTTAGCGGTACTGTAAGCCGTGGAAACCCTGGCCACCCTCTGATGGATGGGATCCTGAGCTAGGGGATTCCACCAGCCCAGACACACAGGGAGGGTATCAAAACACCAGCCTCACTCCAGCTCTGGCTCCCAATGAGCTAGACGTAAAATGGGCTTCTGACACTAGGTTGCAGGAACCGCCACAGACACAGCTCTCACACTTCTCTGTGACTCACAGTCAGAAATACATCCCAGGACACAGGTATCTTCACGTGGAGAGCTGGAGATGCTTCCTGAAACATACTCCCTCTGGTGTGTCTATTCTGTTTGATTTCATTTTGAGATGGTGAGACCTTGTTAGGGACTGTACCGTGTCCCCCCACAAATTCATACCTTAAAGGCTTAACCCCTAAACTGACTGTATTTGGAGATAAGGCCTTTAAGGAGGTAATTCATGTTAAAAGAGCTCATAAGGGTGGTGCTTAAATGATAGGTCTGGAGGCCCTGTAAGAGAAGACGCTGGAAATGACTGAGCTCTCAGTCTCTCTCTCTCCCCCTTATTCTGGTCTCCTCTCCCTACCCTAGAGCACACACAAGCCTGTGTGAGGACACTGTGGGAACWACCATCTGCAAACCAAGAAGAGAGGCCTCACCAGAAACCAACTTTGCCTGCACCTCCACCTTGGACTTCAAGCCTTCCAACTGTGAGAAAATACATTTCTGYTGTTTATGCCACCTGGTCCCTTATACTTTGTTATAGTAGCTTGAGAAGAAGACAGACTCTGAATTATCTCATTATCTTCAAAACTGAAAAAATCCTAAGGAGGAACAGACTTCTGGATCAGAATTCATGCCTGGACAACAGTTCCTAAGAATATCTTCCAGGAATATGGACAACAGTTCCTAAGGATATCTTCCAGGAATATGTAGAAGAGGTCTGCTAGAATGCAGACCTTAAATTGTTTGAAATTCATATTAACTCAATATATCTGAAATCATCAAATACCCCGGAATACACTTAAACCTTGCTCCTACATTTTTTCCCCACCTTGCTTATACAACCAGTAAGGTGATGTCATGGTTGTCACACATATAAAAACGGTTCCTCTCAGGTCTTCTGAGTTGCACTTACTGCAGTATTCTGAGATTTGTTCCTTCTATTTGTGCCCTTCAGGATTCAYAACTTTGGTTATCATATCCATGGGGACACTGGGGACTCAAACGTTTTGGGTAGAGAAAGCTGGGTTTAAGTCCTGGTTCTATCAACTATTAGCTGTGTGCCCTTGGACTTCTCACTCAACTTCTCTGTGCCTTACTTTCCTCATCTGTAAAACAGGTTATGACTATCATTCCCACCTCATTGGATTGTGATAAGAATGAAATGAAATTTAACACCTAAAGTGCAGCACCTGGTACATAGCAAGCACTCATAAATATTAGCCATTTTGCCATCATCATCATTTCTTTTTCTTAATAATTTTTATACCTTTATTTTATTTATTTATTTTTATGTGGTGCTGAGGATCGAACCCTAGGCGAGCGCTTTACCGCTGAGCCACAACCCCAGCCCTATCATCATCATTTCTTTGGCTCTTGTGGTCTCTCTCAACACTGTAGTAACTCTGTCTCTGGGACCACCTCAGGAGACCTAACTCTTCTCCAGCTGCCRCAAAAATATAGCACGGGAATTCCAAGGGAGAGCCCAACATCTTTTGGTGGAGGGGTGGATATATTCTCTTCAGTTTCTGGTTCCCACCCTGATAATGCCTAACATTTTGCAAACTATATGGGGACTCTAAAAATCTGTTTCCTAAGATAAAGCAGCACCTCATAGCTCAACACCATACATAGGGTGGACTACGATCTTTCTTACTGATTACACTGTAGGTCCTGAGATACCCGTGAAATAGGAGTGATAATCTGTTTCCTGGGATAAAAGCAGCAGCTCATAGTTCATCTTCCTGCCAAATGCCTTTGGCGTTGTGCAGACCCMCTCAGCTTGGTCTTGGACTATACCCTTGATTATCTACAGGAACATAAAGTAAAATGGGCCCAGTATAAGTCCTGGGGGTGGGATGGGAAACTGTTAACCATTTCTTCATCAGAAAGGTATGAATTATCTCAGTACTTTCCATTCTCGTTCATAATCTAACTTCCCAGTGCAATAACAGTTCCCTTGAATGCATATTACGTCCTAGGTGCCGTGTTTCCAGACATGTGAATATACCTATACAATACCATGTAACACATGTAAAGTTCAAAGTGTTGAAGAAATATAGATAAGAAAGTCATGATTCTCTCTAGGAATTCAGAGGCGATTCCAGAGAAGAGGTGACCTTTGAGCAAGGTTTTGAAGGATGAATGAGTTCACCAGAAGTTCCAGATAAAGGGATCCCAGGTAGAGGAAGAACACATGCTCAAGCATAGAGATTAATGATCATATGGAGTATGAGAAGGGGAATTAGGAATGAGGCTGAGGAAGAGGCAAGAGCCAGACTGTCAATGGTTTCATTCATTTGTTTATTCAGCAAATTTACACTGAGTACCAACTATGTGTAAGGCTTTGTCTTAGGCCCTGGGGACACAACAGTGAACATTAAGAGACAAAACTACCTGTCCTGGTGGAGCTGACAGGTTAAGGAACTGGAACTTTGCTCTATAAACATCTATGATTTTAGGCAGGGTAGGTATATGATCAGATTTTTCATGGTCAGATTTGACTTTTTTTTTGGGGGTGGGGGAATTGAACCCAGGACACTCAACCACTGAACCACATCCCCAGACCGTTTTTTATATTTGATTTAGAGACAGGGTTTCACTGAGTTGCTTAGGGCCTTGCTAAGTTCCTGATACCGGCTTTGAATTTGCAATCCTCCTGCCTCAGCYTCTGGAGCTGCTGGGATTACAGGCATAGGACACTGCATCTGGCCAGGTTTAATTTTAAAAGATCCCTCTGGAAACAGTTCAGAGGAAAGATTTAAGAGAGGCAAGATTAAAGGTAGGAATTCCAAGTGGGAGGGGATGCAGGTCTGCATGAGAGATGCCATGAACTAAAACAGTGGTCCTGGGGTGGACAACTGAGGAGAAGGAAAACCAGCAGCCCTGATGACCACCTTGCAGGTGGGGACCAGGGAAAGAAAAGGCTCTAAATTATGACACAGATTGTGGGTGGGCGGCTTRGTGGAGGATGGCGGAGTTGGCAGGGAACACGGGAGGAGAGCAGGTGCAGGAAGAAGCGTCTGCTTGGATTTCACTGTTTGAGGTATGTGCAGAGTGTCCACATGGGGATGCCCAGGTCAGACAGGTAAATCTGGAGCTGGGGGGGAGGGGAAGGACACAGGTTGGAGAGTCCTCCATGGACTGGAATGGCTGCCTGGGCTGAGCCCATGCTCCCCGCTGAGCACCTGCTGCCCCTGGGTCAGAGGCGGGGAGGGGCCTCCTGTGCTTCACTGCCCTTTTCACACTGTCTCTGCCTCCTTCCTTAAGCCCTGAGACCCCTGAAACTCTTGTCATCAGATGATCCCACTTCTGCCCCTCTCTTAGGGTCACCCAGCCCTAGGCCATCCCATCCTTTAAAGTTGCAAACACCCGGCCTTCAGCAACTCTCGGTTTAATCCTTGGCGCGAATACTGAAAACCACCCTTCTAACACCCTGGCCTTTCTGTCCCTTGACTTCATCTCCTCTTCTCCAGACCTTTGTTCTCTACCCACCTCAGCGCCCTGATCCTAGACAACCAACAGATCCCAGGGTGCAACTTACCTACATATCAGAATTACCTGGAACACTTAAAAATAAACTGATGTCCAGGGGCTGGGGCTGGGGCTAGGACTCAGCAGTAGAGCACTTGCCTCACAGGTGAGGTACTGGGTTCGATCCTCAGCACCACATAAAAATAAATAAACAAACAAAATAAAGGTATTGTGTCCATTTACAACTAAACAAAATATTTATATGTGTGTGTGTGTGTGTGTGTGTGTGTGTGTTGCTAGAGATCAAACCCAGAGTTCACAGATGCTAGGCAAGTGCTCTACTATTGAGCTACAAGTCCAGCATCTTTTTTGGGGATGGGGGGGGTAGTGGGGATTGAATCCAGGGGTACTTAACCACTGAACTACATCCCCAGCTCTTTTTATTTTTTGATACGGGGCCTCACTAAGTTGCTAAGCCTGGCTGGCCCCAAACTTGCAATCCTCCTGCCTCACCACCACCCCAAGTCACTGGGATCACAGGCTTGCATCACTGAGCCTGGCTAGCATCATATTTTTAAAGTGCCCCTCCAAATCTAATGCACAGTCAGTGATGAGAATCATGACTCCAGTGCTTTCTAGCTAGTCCATACCTGAAACAAGGCAACTTAACACCAACAGAGAAAAATATACAACTGTGTGTTCTGATCTCATTTTTTGTTGTTGTTGATTTGTTTGTTTTGTGGTACCRGGGATTGAATTCAGAGCCTATTGCAAGCAAGTTCTCTACCATGAACTACATCACCAACCCCTTTTTAAATTTTGAGGTAGTTTTTTGCTAAATTGCCAAGGCTGGCCTCAAACTTGCCATCCTCCTGTCTCAGCCTCCTAAGTAGCTGGGATTACAGGACTGGGCCATCCCTCCGACTTCTGATCTCATTTTAAATCCATGACCACTAAACTCATAAGATCCATTGGTTCTGCCCAGGYATCCTAACTGTCTCCCTGGTTCATTCACTCTTCCACTTTTCTCAGTGACTATTTTAATCCTTCCCTTTGCTCAAAACTCAAACCCCAACTCCTACTCCTCAATTTCAGCAGCTGTTCTTACTTCTTGACTCATTGAGAAAAAGAGACATCAAAAGAGAACCTACTGCCAGGCATGGTGGAACTGGCTCCCAGCAAGATCCTGAGACAAGAGGATCACAAGTTCAAAGTCAGCCTCAGCAACTTAAGTGAGGCAACTAAGCAACTCAGCAGACCCTGTCTCCAAAGAAAGATTAAGAAGAGCCTGGGGATGTGGCTTAGTGCTTAAGCCCCTCTGGGTTCAATCCCTGGTACCAAAAAAAAAAATCTAAAGGACTTCCCATGGCCTGCAAAGCCTGACCTGGTCGACCCTCACCCGGCCTCCTCATCTCTCTACACTCTCAGCCTTGCTCAGCCCACTAAAGCCACTCCAGAATCTGTGCTGTCCCTTTTGTTCACTCACAAGCATGATCATACACATGGACCTTTGCACTTTGCTCTCCCTGTCTGGAACATTCCCYGATACCTGTACAATTTCTAATCACTACATCTTCTTTCCAATTTACTTCCTAGGTGTCCTATCTTCACTAGGAAGCAAAACAATGCAGGCAACCAATGTAGGTGAACTTTCCAAGAAGAGGTGGGACATGCTGGAGCTGGGGTTGAAGAGTCTGGAGGAGATGAGATGACAGGAGGACCTTAGCTTTGACAGCATCTGCTGTGTCAGGGATGAGCAATGCATATTTGTGATTATTGCAGCAACCTCCCAGGGTCCCTGCCCTGTCTCATGCCATCTCGTGTTGAGGCCAAATTAATCTCCCTGAAGCATATATCTGGTCTATTCCAAGCTCACAAATTACCTAAAACTCCTCTGTCCTGTAGATAAAGCCTCACTAAGCATTGAGGATTTCCTGCAGTCTGACTCAAATCAATTTTTCCCTGTCTCCTTCTCTTACTCTGGAATGCCATGTCTGTGGAATCTCCCAGGATTCCCAGTAAGAAATCATTCTCTTGGTAGACCACTATGAACACAGAACTCTCTCTCTTAGTGCCAGGAAGAGATGACATCATTTCTAAACATGTCTTATCTTCTCTAAAGACACCACTGGGCCAGGTGTGGTGGCACACACCTATAATTCCAATGGCTCAGGAGGCTGAGGCCAAGAGTATCGAGAGTTCAAAGCCAGCTTCAGGAACTGCAAGGTACTGAGCAACTCTGAGACTCTGTCTATAAATAAAATACAAAACAGGGCTGGGGATGTGGCTCAGTGGTCAAGTACCCCTGAGTTCAATCCCTGGTACCTCTGCCCCCACAAAAAGACACCRTTAGTTCTTTGAGGGCTGCATCCATGTGTGACAGCTTTGTGCCTTCACAAGGAAAGAGCTCAAATATTGGAGTAAATAAATGAATAACCAAACAAATCAATCCCACTATGTGCCTTGGCACTTGGAATAAATTTACTCTGGAGCTATGTTAATGAAATCAATACCTGGGTGACAACAGGCACTGCTGAGGCCCAGGTAGCTCCTCGCCAAAATACCCTGCAGTTATAAACCTGACTTTCCATACTGGTCAAGACCAGACTTGAATAAAGGTGGTGCAGRGCCAAGTTACTATTTCTAGATATTCTTTGAGCTTATGGAAAGAGGGGCTAAAGGACAAAAAATCATGACACTGAAATTCTCTATCCCCTCAAGCCACCTTCTCAGTCAGTTTAGTAAGTAGAATAAAGCCAGCCCAGGTTTCTTTTTTTCTTTTTCTTTCTTTCTTTTTTTTTTTTTTTTTTTTTTTGGTACTGGGGATTGAACTCAAGGGCACTCTACCATTAAGCTACTCCCCAGCCCTATTTTGTAGTTTATTTAGAGACGGGTCTCACTGAGTTGTTTAGCTCCTTGCTTTTGCTGAGACTGGCTTTGAACTCAATATCCTCCTGCCTCAGCCTCCTGAGCCCCGGGATTACAGGCATTCACCACTGCATCCAGAGCCAACCCAGGTTTCTAGTTGAAGCTCTGATGCTTGATTACGGGTTCTGCGTTTGGAGAGTTCACTAAACCCTTCCCAGTCTCTGTTTCCCCATATTTCCTTTGCCAAATTCATGGGGGATTATGAGGGTCTCGTGGATGGTGAAATGCTATTTTTAATTCTTAAAATCATGTTAATAGTTGTAGGATGAACAAATGGTATTTGGTGGTATTGGGGACTGAACCCAGGGCCTTATATATGCTAGACAAGCACTGTACCATGGAGCTATACCCCCAGCCCGTGAAATGCTATTATCACGAAGAAACAGGAATTCCAACAAGTCCCCCCAGTATATTCACTGAAACAGCCCCTGTCTTAAACAAATGCTGGTTAAGCCAGAGACTTGGAAGACAAGAGCAGCATTTTCAAGTTTTTGAAGTCTAGTTTTAATCAGACATGGTATTCTT